TAGTTGAAAAAATAATAAAAAATCAAATTGAAGACAAATTTCTTTTGGTGATATGATTCTAAACTCTGCAAGTAGTGATCAAGAAAAACTTATGATGTCATCCAGTACAGAGCTCCATTCAAATTGTAAGCTCTTTTGCTAATCGGACAGTAGTTGAAATTGCTATTGACTATAAATTTATTGTAAAATAATATGGCTATAAATTTTGTTTGTGAAAAAGTTACAAGGAAATAATTATTATTTAATTTATCATAAGGCTTGGATATCTAGATCAGGTTTAAACACTCCAGTTTTTTAGCAAAAGGACGTAATTTTTACCAGCTATCGGTTAGCTTTGAGATTATATGGTGATTAATTTTGATTATTTCGTAAGGGATTGAAACTTATACTGTCGTCAAGCGCGGAGAGAATCCCATAGAGTGAGCACTCTAGTTAATCAGAAAGTGGTCTGAAATTTGACAGGAAATAAATTTCCTTAAGCAATAATTGCAGGATAAACTCTGCTGGTAACTGTCGCGAAATGATTGAAAATAGTATTCTAATTTAGCATATAGCTTCAGTTTTAATTTGAGTGCTCTAGCCAGTTTTGAAATGATCGGAAAAAGTTGATTGACGGAGAATTCTCCTTGACTATAATATCATGATAGGTTATTCTGGTTGCGGCCAATAAATGATTGAAACTTGCATTGACATCTGGCACGGAGCTTTAATACTATCTTGTGTGCTCTAGCTAGTCAGAAAACGATTTAAAATTTGACTGCAAGATTCCATTGAGACTGACATTCAACTATCCGAGATTACATCACAAAGATACAACGATTTCATCAAATTAACAAAAAATAAAAAAAGGTTATTTATATTAAGATAAAAATATTCCTTAGTAATAAAAAATATGTTAATAAAACTAATTGAAAAACTATAAAGTTATCAATAATTTACTCTTTTAATTAAAATGCTATCCATTTTAGTTTCATTTTTAACATATCTTTGACTTAAACATCTCGTGACACTAAAAAAAGAAATTAAAATATCAATAAAAATCACCGTGAAAGCTGAATGCTAGAGCAGCGTCACCAAGTCTTCTAACCATTCCATTATCTTTCTCGTTTGCAACCCAGTTGAGCCTTTATGAAGCCATTGTCGTAACTTTAACTAAAAGTTAGATATCAGGAACTATAAGCAGAACTTCACGTTTTTTCGAGTTGCTAATACCCAACGGAATATCTGCAAGTTACTTAATGTGGCTATCTCGATCCTGATTGGTTGTTAAAATGCCGTATTTGATTACGTTATCAACTGTTCTTCGAATTCTATTTCGAGTAAGCCAAGCCTGTCAAGTATCCCTTGAGTGACATATTCTATTTTCTTTCACAAATGTTCTTTCATAAACATTTCAATTGTCGCTCTGAATATCTCTTACTTAATACAAAGACAGGCAAGGAGACATGTAGAACATAAACTAACTAGTTGTGCATCGCAGTTACCAGGTACACAAAACAAAAATATAACACGGTTACGATAAAATGCATAGACAAATAATAAATCTAAGTCAAGTAAAAGAGGTAGAAGAGAAATAATTATATTTTAACAAAGTTAATGTGCGATACGGTGCTGTATTTAATTAATTTCAGATTAATTAGCATTCTAACTTATGTGGAGAGACTTAACTCCGGCTTTAACACCCCCATCTTGTTTATAAACGATTAGTTGGTGTTGAGGTTATAGGTCACATGTCTGGGTACTAATGATTTTTTTCTTCTTGAAATGCAAGTACCCGAAATCCGGCTAACTATTTCTAAGGATCCTATACTATTCTATTTATTCAGGGGCTCTAATTATTTCATGCAATCTCACATTAGACAGAAAAATAACATCATTCACAAACAAGGAAAAATCATGTATTTTTGGCTACCATCAGCATGAAATTCATAAAAGTTACAACGATTTGTAGTAATATTTATTTATAATTCCGACCAACTATTATTTTCTGTTAATTTTAATCTGCTTGATTATAATTATTACCCATTGGCAAAATCGGTGTTGTTTTGGGTTTGATGGCGTGCGCACCTTATTTGGATGTCATCACGCTTTTCGACTGTGTTCAAGAGTAATAGTAAACAGTGCGCATGCGTCGTCATTGCATGCGTTGCTATGGCGACAGCTGCTCTTTGATAATTTTTTTAGAATTCTTTTCTTCACTTTTAATTTTGTTATGCATTAAGTTGGTGAGTTTATTTTTGAGATATAGGACCAGAGATATATCATAAATATTTCTTGAGTTGTGAATAAAAGAGATTTTCTTCATTTGAAAGATATTTTTGTTTTTATATTTTTAATTTAGAATCAGAAATTCTAACCTACAGTTCAAACGGGATCGTTTTCAATACTAATTCAGGTGAATATCGCAAATGAAGAGGGTAAAAAATTTAAAAAAAAATTAGATAACTACCATTTTGTCAATGGGTAACCTGCGATCTCCTTTTTTTTATTACTGAAATTGTCTTTTGCCTAATTTCAAGATGGCAAAATAGATCACATAATGTTAGGTCAAACTTTTGCGTGGGTAAAATATTGCTTGCCTAAAACTCGTTCATACAACAACAGAGTATAATATTTGGATAAGAAATTTTGCAGTTTTTACTTTTGTCTTATAAAATTTAAAATTAAACGCTTAAAACTGAAAGTGTTGTTCTTTTATTATATTGTAAAGTAATCGCATGATATTACCTTATTATGCAATATTTTATGACATAGAAATTTAGTAACCGTTTTACAATTTTTTATTGATAAATAAGCTATATTTCTTTTTTAATACGTTATATATACTTTTATAATGAATTTTATATACAAATGGATCCAGTCAATGCAGACAATTGAAAGGATCAACAAATTATTGATTTAAAATTCTGAAGAAATATTAAAAGTTAATTTTTCGCACTAACTATTGTTAGATAATCCTTTTGCTGAAAAATAGTTAACGATTTCGTAGGATAATCAAAAATTAAATAAAAGTTTTGGAAACGAATTTTTTGATAATGTTACAATAGTAGGCGAGCGAATTTGTTATGTTTAAATTTCATCCCAACACTATAACTATAGAATCAAATAAAAAGAAAAAAATGTAAGATTTTTTAATTGAAAATTTTCAATTTGTCTGTTTATTATATGGAAACAAAAATGATTTTGACGTAATCAGGGGAAGCGAATTGCGCAGGGGGGCAGTCTAGTCATGGATCAACTATGTAGTGTAAAATAGTTTGCTTATACGATTGAATATATACGTGTTCTACAAAAATATACAACGCGAGACGTTAATTTTTGTATGCAAAGTAGGGAAGAACTACGTATTTTTGAACTGCACATAACTTTTAATTGTACCAAAGACAAACTGTAGCAATTGTAGCGAAAGTAAAGTTGTCTGTAATGTTCGAATGTTTGAAAAAAAGTGCAGTTCTCTATGTTTTAAGGAATGAAACTGTAAAAATTTGCAAAATAATTTTTTTTAACAGCATTACTTAAAAAAATATGTTGGAAAAATAAAAATGTTCTCTTTTTCTATTTGCGAGATTCTTCCGTAAAACAAGTATGAAACATGTACAAATTAATTAATATTATAGTCAAAATACATTCTGTGAATATGTATCTAAACTATAAATATCTTTGTTAACAAAGGTGAACCCATGAAAAATATTTACATTCTTATTCATGAAAATATAATAGCGTTAAGCAATTTTAAAGCAGTATTAATATCTGCTTGTTCCGTGCGAGAAATGGAATTGCGCTTATACGTGTCGTATTTATAAAATTTAATTCAAAACAATCCATCTATTTTTTTTAGTTTTGCTACTTGCACTGGGCGCGGTACTTTTCGCGTAAGATCTGTTTTTTACGAACATGTTACGGGACAAAATTAAATTACCGTAAAATCACTGATTTACTCTAGTTTCATATACAATACAGTAAAAATTACCTAAAATATTTTAAGATAAAAATGGATTGTGCGCTAAAATGGATTTTACGGATGATGCATCCAAAGTGCCGATACTTTATGCCATTATTTGATTCGGAATTTTTTACAATGTAGATATTATGAATTTAAAAATTTTGTAATCCTTAGGACTAGAAGTATCACAGGAAAAAATGTCGAGTCATCAATTTTAGTAAAAGTGTTATAGTTTTTACTGAGAAAAACATTTCACTAAAACATTAGATATTTCAGATACTTTTTGTCGTAATACCTATTTTGACTGAAGATAGCTGATTTTTGCTAGACAGTAACTGAAGAACCTAGCGGAAAAACAATTTAAATGAATTCAGTGTTAAATGTATGACATTCAAATTTTCGCTAGATTTTGTGATCCCTTGTATGTGCACAACATTATATTATACTCACAAGTATTTAAATATTGCATTTTTGTAAATGATAAGATATATACTAGGTAATGATAACATAATATAAGCATTGAATAACACACTTCTCCATTTCTGATAAGAAATTTTAAATATATAAATTGTTTAATGTTATTAAAATACCAATTTTGAGTTTTTTTTAAAAAAATCGCAATGTATTTTCTCCTTAAAAAAATTGGTTTAAGTTTTTATTTTAAATTCTTTAAATACTATAGATTTTCTTTTAGACAGACTAGAACTATGAATTCATAAAAATATACATATGTTTTGCATACCTTTTAAGTTTTTATTACATTAAGATTTCTTATTAAATTTAATTCTTAAATTTGTTTTTTACCGGTTTGTAAAAAAGCGAAGCTCGTTTGCTAATTTGATAAGACTATAGCAATCATATATGAACATCTGAAAATACATTAGACCAACGATTCCAATATGGTATTCCAAGGAACCCTAGGGTTTCTTAAGAGCATCATATGTTTTCCGACTGTAAATACATTTTTTAACACGTCGTCCCTCAAAATTCTTTCATTTTTGACAAATTTTATTAGGCATGCATTATATGAAATCTGTAAAATATACATAATTCTCACCTCCTCCATTTCTGTAACAAATAAATGGAAATCTCCAAACATTTCCCAAATCTACTGCAAAACCAATGACTGCCAACAGGAACTCTGCTTTCTTGTCCCATGTTTCACGGTCGTCATCCGATTGGGTTAGGGCAGGAAGAGCACTTGATTCACGTTTGTTTGTTTCTGTGGTTACAACAGACGTTCGAACTTCTTCTCCTTGAAGTTCTGCTTTTAAAGAGCATTTTGATGCGGATACAGGTACAGGCATTGTTTTCTTTTGATGTCGACTTTTTTTAAATTTATAATCGTCTGCGTTATAATTATAGAATTTTTATTCACCCGGAAGATAAAAAGGGTATTTAAAAATAGTTTGGCGTGAAAATAAGAGCTTGTTTTTGTAATTTAAAAAGTAATTCTGATAATTTCCTAATTTTTAAGAGTTTTTAATAAAAACGCAAATATTGTTCCGGGCGGATGCGGGATTTTGCGGCTGCTTTTCTCCTCCGTCATCTGTTGATTCTTCCGGAAAGGATTTTTCGCACCGGCAGGGGGCGTTTCTAATCCCTTAGAAACTTTCGCCGGCTTTGGAATCGTTTTCCTCTCTTCTGTTGGAATTAAATGAAAGTTATAATGTCGTTAAACTTTCACTAATTTCAGGCAAATTTATGGGTTGCATGGGTAGGGAAGTAAAATTAAAAACAAAAGAAGTTCACTTAAATATATGAAATTCCAGGAAAAAAAATTTGGACCGATTTCCCGAAAAATAAAGCCTGGTAGCCCAAACTCTAATTACAAAAGTATCAGATTACCGAACAAAGCATTGTTAACTTTTACTTATTATTGTAAAATTTTCAAAACACGAAATTTAGGAACTTAATGTATATAAATGTTGACTGTGTGTATTTATATATTGAAGGTGTGACATTAATTTTTAGATAATTAATTGCAGGCGAATTTAGTTGGATTGTTTTTACAATTCATTCGTTTTGTGCTGATCTCAAATAATCTAATTTCAAATTCATGTCATTTTGCCCTCCAATTGTATTATGTTACAAATATTATTTTTATGTAAAAAATAAGAAATTTAGTTAAAATTAGCTTTAAAATTTTTCAAAATTCATACATTATTGTTAAGTAACAGCTTACCACTCCTCTAGAGTTACCTCTATATTCCTTTCTTCATTGATCAACAAAGTTAAGAATTGAAAATTATTGAATGATTTCAAAAATGAGCCTTAAATCAGTTACTCAAAAAAAATATTACTTTTCTTTTCCTGCTAAAGCAATATTTTTAAAAATGCAGATAAATGAAATATATCAAAGCACTACTTGGATACTAATGCATTTTACATCAATAATTTTTAAGTTGCTCAGAATTTGTAAACTAATTTAAATATCTATCGTAACAATAACATGAATGAGAAATTTGCTCATATTTCAACATTATCCTACATCACCACTAACAGCAAATGTTATCTGAATAGTTTTTCTTCGCATCATTTAAAATACTTGTACTTTTTTTAAGACTCATTAAAAATTTTAATTAATGGTTTTTATAATAATAGCAGAAAAACTGACATTTTTGCAAATTTATTAAATGTTACATTCATATTGTTTGTATCATTTCTCAACTTTTATCCTGCCAGTAGATGGAAACGTGCTTGTTTTGAAAGCACAAAAATATTTAACATCTATTTTTGAAGTGATATTTTAAGAATTTGAAAAAGAATGGAACAAAATCTCGGTTACTTTATTGGAATGAATGGTCCAGTTTGGACGTTCTTATGAGAGTTAAAAAATGACCACCATGGTAATCAATGGGACAATCGGTCGTTATAAAATATAATGATCGTTATAATAGAATGATCACAGTTATAGGAATCCGTTCTAAAAAGCGTTGATAGAAGTTCTAATCGAGCTGCATGTAAAAGTCGCCACTCCCAACAGTTTTTCTTTTTCTTTTTATCAATTTCAAAACTTACAGTTTGTTTTTGATGGTTATGCACATTGGTTACACGTCTTGATTCTGCACATACACTCAATTTGAGTTACGAATTCCTGGTACACTTACTTTTCTGTTTATTCACCTGTCAATAAAACAAAAATTAAAAATTTACCACTGATGAATATCAGTTAACCCTCTTTTTCGGGAATAATACACGACTAATTCGAAAGAAATTTCCCATTTCGAATAACAATTTTGATTAATTTTTCACTTTTGACTAATCTTTTCAACCCCAAAAGGCAAATGTATGAATTTCTAATAAATATCAGAATTTCCTAAATAAATATTATCAGAGAAATTAATCGTTCTTAAGAACGTAAAAAAAAATAAGTGCACAGAATAAGAAACAAAGGTGATCAGGCTATCTTTGTATCTTCAACTGAATAACCTGATCATTTTAACGCTGCCTACTTGGTTGAGAAGTAAAAGAGTAGGGTATTAAGTTAACAAAATACCACTTGTTTTAAATATTACTTCGACTTGAATTATACACAACAATCCAGGGCGAAATTTCTGTACCATAAACGCTTTTTATACTTTGTGTATTACTAATTCCTACAGATGGTTTAAATATCCCTTAAAACTGAAAAGAAAATTGTCACAAAAATAATATATTTTTTAAAAACAATAATCTCGACAATTGGCAAACAAGTGAAGTGATTACGAAGTAATCTGGATAAACTCGCAATGCGACTTAGGAGGTTGGTAAGCGAAAGCAAACAGGAGACGGAAACACTTTAGTTTCTGACTATTTCATATTATTGAAAAGTAGAACTTTTTTCAGAGTGTAATAGTTTGAAAATGTGATCATAAATGAAATAATTCCATACTAAGCAAAAGTCACTCATTAAGGAAATCCGAAGACTGTGTGGCGCCATCTCTTAAAACGAATCAAGATGGTTAAATTTTACCTTTTGGATAAGGTTCGAAATGCATTAAAGACTTTCTTACAATTCAATCCCTTTCAGAATCCCTGATGATATATATA